GAAACAGAGCTCACTGGGACCCAGCATAGGTTAGCAAAAAACAAAAACAGCATTACCAGACTGTCCTCATTCCCTTACTGAAAGGCAACTAGGTCAGCAGATCAAAGGAATGCTGTAGACTCGAGTAACTGGCCCAGCAAGGTGCTGACGTATTTCTAAGGAGTCTAAGGAGCAAGACCTGGGTGATGGAGACTGAGAGCTAGGGGTGTGGGTGGAGGGGGCCAAAGGACAGTAATATGAACTAAAAACTCATAAAACTACACTATTCAAAGAATGTTGATCAGTCTCAACCTCTGGGATCTGCCAGTTTGATTAAAGAGATGAAAGCACTATTCTTTCAGTGCTTTCTTCTCTAAGGCCACCTGAATCTAAACCTCTACCACCTTTCTCCTGGACTACTAGAACAGTCTCCTGATTGGATGCACAGCACCAGAGTGTTTCAAAAACATGAAACTGCTTTACTTCTCTGCTTGAAACCGGGACAAGTTTTTCCTGACTCACATCCCCCTTCCAAAGAAGCACTCCTTTCCCCCCAATAATTATATTTCTTATCCTATTTGTTTTACTGTTTCATTTAATAAAGGGTAAGCTCCATGAGGGCAGAATTATGTCTGTTTTATTCACCAACACGTTACCTAGTGTCTATTCTAGGTCAAGTACATGGTAGGTGCTCAGTTAATTGAATGAATTAAAGATACGAACAAACACTGACAGATCAAACTGCCAAGACACTGTAACAAGTGGAGTTAGACTAAAATGATCATACACAACTCTTTGGAACCACCAAAAAGTTTAAGGTCAGGTGAGAGACAGCAACTCCCCTCGAATTTTATATAAGTAGAATTCTAGAGTATGTATTCTTTTTGGTCTGGCTTCTTCTCCTCTTTCTTTTCAGTGAAAGAATATCCATGCACTGGCTAAAGAATTGATTTTCTATTTTTCTAATACAAAAAACCTGGACCTAGGGATGGAATGTCTGGATCACAAGAAAGGTATATATTCAACTTTTTAAGAAAATAAAGTGGTTGTACCATTTTACATTTTCACCAACGGTGCATACAACTTCTAGTTCCTCCACATCCTTATCAACACTTGCTATAGTCAATCTTTTTAATTTTAGCCATCCTAATAGATAGGAGGTGGAATCTCAATGTGGTTTGGATGTGTATTTCCCTAATGATGAATTATCTTGAGCATCTTTTCAAGTGCTTACCAACTACATGGACATCCTAGTTTGTTCAAATTACATAAGAGGCTCTCACTCACTACATAATTTAGACAAACAATACAGAATTTATAGGGAGTATATAGTCCTCCACTACCAATCCCATCCCAAAAATCCACACAGATAACCAAAGGTGCATACGAATCACCCAGGAGCACTTGTCAAGCATGCAAACTCTTGCCCCCACCCTTGAAGATTCAGATTCAGGCAGTGAGGGATGAGGTATTTCCACAAGCCCCTAAGTGATTCTGATGCAGGTAGTCTATAGATCATTTCTTGAGGAAATTCTGCTTTTAATCTCATCCTACTAAAGAAATGTTGGAGGAATGAAGGCAGCGAGGCTGGAAGCAGAAACATGAAAGGGGTCCTTGGGTTCAAATAAGGAAGAGTCTTGGACTGAGAGCACAAGTATGTTTGCTCTATGTTATCCTATGCAGCACCAAATGTTTGGAATCTAAAGGTCAAATTAGAAAGAACTTTCTAGGAGCACCTGGCTGGCTCAGTTGGTAGAACATGTGACTCTAGATCTTTGGAGTTGTGGCACCATCAAGCCCCATGATGGGTGTAGAGCTTACTTTAGAAAAACAAAACAGGGACACCTGGGTGGCTCAGTCAGTTAAGTGTTTGACTTTTGATCTCAGCTCAGATCTGATCACAGGTCATGAGTTCAAGCCCCATGTTGGGCTCCACGCTGAGCCAATAAATAAAATATTTAAAACAGGGGCACCTTTGGCCCAGGGCGCGATCCTGGAGACCTGGGATCGAATCCCACATCGGGCTCCCGGTGCATGGAGCCTGCTTCTCCCTCTGCCTGTGTCTCTGCCTCTCTCTCTCTCTGTGTGTGACTATCATAAATAAAATAAAAAAAAAAAAAAAAACAGGGGCACCTGGGTAGCTCAGTTAGTTGGGCATCTCCCTTCGGCTCCAGTACTGATTTAGGGGGCTTAATCCCAAGATCAAGCTGCTCAGTGGGGAGTCTGCTTCTCCTTCTCCCTCTCCCTCTGCCACTTCCCCTGCTTGTGCTTGCGTGTTCCCATCCTCTCTCTCAAATAAGTAAATCTCTAAAAAATAATAAAATAAAATAAAATCTTTAAAACAAACAAAAACCCAACCTTCTAACAGAGCTACTGTGAAACAAAATCAGGTCACAGAGGCAGGAAAGGAAGGAATTTGCCAAAGTCACTGAGCTTGCAGAAAAAAAGACTTCTCTGGGTTGAGAAATGATTGGCTGAAGGGGAGGCAGAGGGGGGCAAGAGACATTACACACATACACATTCTCTGTTTTTTAGAAAAAAACTCTCCTTCATAAACACCCAGAGAGGAATGTAACCCACCAGACAGGTAGTATGCACCCTAACCCAAATTAAATAGCAGCTATTTGCCCTAAGCCATACTTCCCTGACTCTATTTGCAAGGCCTAAAATGGTAGAGAAAGGAGACAACACACTATTTTGTAAGAGCAGTTCTTTTTATAGGTAAGTAGGCCCGCCCCAGGCCTTGTCCTCACAATTTTGGATCTGCAGATTTCAAAACTCTTAAGCCTGTCAATAAACAAGCAATAGGCTTTGGACAATCAAGCTCAACAAATGCTATTTTGCTTCAGTTACAGCTCTCAAACACCACTACCCCCCCCAATGGTTAAATAAAAAGCCATTTATTTGATCTAGAACAGAATCAACCAAGGCTCTGTTTACCACGGCAAGCTGCTGATCCGAGAGGGATGAGAGCCAACTGCCAGTAACTCCTGTACCCTGGCAGAAACTCAGCTGAGCCCCCACCACCTGGCAAGACTGGGTGTTGCCCAGGTCCCCACAACCCCCCTCCTCTTTCCTCTCATCTGAAAACAAGAGATACAGGTGCTGGTTCCATTCAAGAGAGGCAAGCAAGGCCCAATAAACAGTCCTTATTAGAATGTCTGGTAGCTTCTACTTTCAGCATTTCACCTTAGGCCAAATATTGATGTGCGCTGTTGCACTTTTATTTAGATTATCATCACCCAGATACGCACTGTCGCTCATAAGTCATAATAAGTGTTCACTCTGTAGTTTCACGTTGACAATTATTTAAAATTTATTTCAGATATAGCCCAAGGTCTTCCAGGTCATCACCTCTCCTAACTGGCACAGCTGTGAGCCACTGCGGTTCTGTGCACCAGCACTTTTACTGAACACTTCCTAAGGGTCAATCACTGGGCTCAACATTCATTCTTAAGTCTGACAATAACTGGAGGGATGAAGCAGACAATCTTTCTTTTTACAGCTGAAACTGGACATTGGGCTGAAATGAATAATACTACACTATATAAGTGAACTTGAATTTTAAAAAATCTTGAAAGAAAAAAACAGAAAACAAAAAACAAAAAAACTGGGCCCTGGAGAGGTTAAAGTATGTGTCCAAGATCACATGGCTAGCAGAGTCAGGACACTGGACTGACAGCAGGTACTCGCTTCTTTCCCAGCTACCTCCCTTTAAAGCAGAAAAAAAAAAAATTTTTTTTTTCTCTGAACAGTGCAGCCTGAGTGCCAGCCTTCAGTCCTTTCTTACGGCAGAATGCTTCATGTCAAATCTGAAACTGTGTGCAAGGTTCCGCGTGAACCCCTCTGTGGGGAGGAACCCAGATCTCTAAGGGGTCAGGGACCCCAAGAAGGCGAAGCACGGGGCCAGGCTGCTGTCAGTTTCTCTTCCCCCCTGCAGATTCTGGGCACTCGCTGCACAGGGAGGGAAGCACTGCAGCCCTGAGAAGCTGAGCCGGAGGGTCAGGCTTCTGGTCCCCGCTTTGGCACTAATTTTCGGTCCTTGGCCAAGGCCACTCAACACAGGGAGTGCACATTTCCTTTCTCTCTTTCCTCCTGGCCTATAGTCATATTTTCCTCGGCAAGGATTTTTAATATTGTTTGTATTTTTCCATTGTTTCAACCTAGGGATTCTTATTAAAAGTCACCCCAGGGGCAGCCCCGGTGGCCCAGCGGCTTAGTGCCACCTTCAGCCCAGGGCCTGATCCTGGAGTCCCGGGATCGAGTCCCACGTCGGGCTCCCTGCATGGAGCCTGCTTCTCCCTCTGCCTGTGTCTCTGCCTCTCTGTGTGTGTGTGTCTCTCGTGAATAAATAAATAAAATGTCAAAAAAAAATGTCACCCCAAATCCTACCCAGGGATAAACAAACGGATGCAAGAAATAATCCTTCACCCCCCCCCCCCCCAGGCCACCTTACCTCTCCGGGCCGCAGTGCCCCACCTGTAAAAGGTCACGTGGCTCAGGCTGCTCGCAGTCCCGAGAGAGCTGCAGACACAAAGCTCGACCGCGCGCCCCCGCCTCCCGCCTCCGCCCTCCCCGCCGCTGTCCCGCGCCCCTCGGCGCCCAGCCCGCCGGCCCTGGCCCTGGCCCTGGCCCTGGCCGCAGTCTCGGGGCGCACGGGGCTCGGGGCCCGGGGAGCCGCCGCGGCGGGAGGGGCGCCCCCTTCCCCCGCCCCGCGGCCGCGCCCGAGCCTGGGCGCGCGGGTCCCACGGAGGGCGCGGGAGGGCGCGGGCGGGCGCGGCTCTGCCCACGCTGCGCGCGTGCGTGCGCCGCGGGGGGCGGCCCGCTCGGGAGCCTTTGTCGATTGTCTGCGGCCAGGTTGTCTCCCGGCCCCGGGGTGGCCCTGGCCGGCCGCCCGCGCGGGGAGCTGCGGCTGCGGGGAGCGCCGCACCCGCCGCGCCGGCTGGGGCAGCCGCCTTCCCCGCCGGGCTCGGCACCCCCAAACACGGGCTAGCGCTCCGGACCCCCGCGTCCCCGAATACCTGTGTCCCCGTGCCCCGTCCCGAGCACCAGCTGTTAGCGGGGACCTCGCCGTCATTCCCAGGGCGTCCGCTGCCCGGGAGGTCTGGGTGCGCCTTCCCCAGCGCCGCCACGAGCTCAGTCGGCCGGGCTCCCTGCACCCAGTGTCCCTTCCTGTGATACAAAGGTGTTGGTCTGGCTCTCGCCCTGCCGAGAAATGGGACAGTGTTCAGCGCCCTAAGTATCCGGGCCCGTGCGGCAGACAAGGTGCCCGCTCTCTGAGGTCGCACGTGGGACGTGAGAACTGCTATGAAAAAGTGGCCTGTCCGGGAAGGCAAACCGTGTGTGTGTGTGTGTGTCGGGGGGGGGGGGGTCCGGAATCGACTAGATTCTGACTGTCCTAAAGCTTCTCGGTTCTAATTCTTGTTCTCATTATTAGGGCTTCCGGTTCATTATTATCAGTGAGAGCGTAGTAGTAATGCTTACGAAGTGCCGGGCACGGTACTAAACATTTTACTTGTGTCTTCCCATTGGTCTCATTCACGACTTCCCTATAAAATAGACATGCTTCGTGTTATTATTACTGTTATTATTCTCATTTTAGAAAAACAGAGGCCAGGAAAATGAAAGTAACTTGCCCACTGTTGCCAAGCTGCTAAGCTACAGGACCAGAATTCAGAGTGTAGAGGCCTGGAGGTGCTTAACCACTAGTCTGCATCCATAAAAACGTGAAGACCAGGGGTGCCTGGGTGGTTGAGTAGGTTAAGCGTCTGCCTAGGATCAGGTCATGATCTCAGGGTCCTGGGATGGAGCTCCCCCGGCCCCCCACCCCCATGGGGCTCCCTGCTCAGTGCGGAGTCTGCTTCTTCCCCTCCCTCTGCCCTTCCCCACCACTGGTGCTCTCTCTAATAAATAAATAAAATCTTATAAAAAACCCACACGGGGGCGGGGCGCTTGACGGTATGAGCACTGGGTGTTATTCTGTATGTTGGCAAATTAAACACCAATAAAAAATAAATTTATTATTAAAAAAAAAAAAAACACAGACCTGAGGACCAAAATGGAGTCATCTTGAATGTGATGGATGAGAACGGCAGAAAGGGAGAGGGGGTTTAGTCTGTAGACAGGAAGAGCAAAGGAAGTTGAAAGCTTTCTGATCCATGAACTAGACTTCATGGGTATGACCTGAGAAGTCACTAGCATGGGGAAATTTATAAGGGACACATTGCAACATGTAAGGAAGAACTTCTCTAACACAACATTTCAAAGTGTCCTCAGTGCCTGGGGAGAGGGAGCATCCTGCCAGTAAAGGTCAACTTTCAAAGTATAACCCTGCAGGGTGCCTGGCTGGCTCTGTTGGAAGAGCATGTGACTCTTGATCTTGGGGTTGTGAGAAGGAGCCCTATGCTGGGTGTAGAGATTATCAATAAATAAATAAACTTTAAAACAATTAAGAAAACCCAAAATATAATATTGCATGTAACTATACTTTGATAATAAAAAAATATATATTTTTGAGTCAGCATTCAAATAGAGAGGCTTATCAGGAATGGTTCAAAGAAGAGTCCCGTAAAAGTTAAAGACTGGTTTAGTCTTTAACTTTCTAAGTTTCTTTCCCATTTGGAAGGAATTTTGAAGGGATATGGAATCCTAGAGTGGTTAGGTGACCTATCCAAAGGCCCCTGGGGACTAAAGACCTGGCCCCAAAGCAAGGCTGACTTCTAAATCAGACTTCTTGTTTGTGGGGAGGGTCTTGAGTGCTTAGCACCTCAGTTCTCCTGTAAAGTATGTGTGTCAAGGGGTGTGGGGTGACCAGTCTTTTCTTGAGAGTATGGAATCATGTGCTCTACCTGTTTCACTTTAATTGCTAATGTGCACCCCTCTTCCCTGCTTGTATTGAGTATTCTGTGATTTCGGACACAAGTGTCAACACTCCTTGGGCAATTGCTGTATTACAGGGATCCTAGAGGTAGTAGGGTTCCACTCCCCCCCAATAAGTATTTATTTGGTTACTTAAGGAAAAGGAGACAAGCTAGATAGTAATTTTTAATTAAAGATTTTATTTATTCATTCATGAGAGACACACATAGAAAGAGGCAGAGACATAGGCAGAGGGAGAAGCAGGCTTCCTCCAGGGAGCCTTATGTGGGACTCGATTCCAGGACTCTAGGATCACTTCCTGAGCCAAAGGCAATCGCTCAACCACTGAGCCACCCACGTGTCCCAAGCTGGATAGTATTTTCATTTGAAACAGACATTTCTTAGATTCTGTTTGAGAACTCTCGGTTATCTTGAATTAAACTCCTAAAGTACTAACACTAATACCCCATCTTTTATCCTAGTCTCAAATAATTTGATAAGCAGTAATCTAAAGGCCAACTTCAGAAAAGCCATTCTTTTTTCAGTGCTCCAGAGAGCTACTTGTTTGTTTTCAACTGGAAAACTCTAAAAAAAAGAATCCAAGTACTTTTTGGGATTGGTTTTCTAGAACATTTACAAAGAAATGGACATCACCCTGCCCCTAATAACACTAACTCAAAGATAAGAGTTCCTTCGTCTTCACTTCTACCCTTCGCAGAATGGTCAATTTTTTAAAGACTTTATTTATTTATTTATTTATTTATTTATTTATTTATTTATTTATTTAAAGAAAGGGATCATGAGCAGGGGGGAAGGGCAGAGGGAGAAGCAGACTCTCACTGAGCAGAGAGGCTGAGAAGGTCCTGGGATCATGACCTGAGTCAAAGGCAGATGTTTAACTGACTGAACCACCCAGGTGCCCCAGAGTGATCAATTTTTAAATTTCTTTAAAATTTCCTGGTTCGAAATTCAAAAGTATATTGTCAGGGCTACAGCTTACAGAATCTTTGGGTTCCTTTTAGTGCCTGGTATATTGCCTTGTATACAGTAGGTGCTGAATAAGTTTTTATTGACTAGGTGGATGAGTGAGTGTGAATTAAGAAGTTGTGGGGGCAGCCCCGGTGGCGCAGCGGTTTAGCGCCGCCTGCAGCCCAGGGTATGATCCTGGAGACCCCGGATCGAGTCCCACATCAGGCTCCCTGCATGGTGCCTGCTTCTCCCTCCGCCTGTGTCTCTGCCTCTCTCTCTCTAGCTGTGTCTCTATGAATAAATAAATAAAATCTTTAAAAAAAAAAAAAAAAGAAGTTGTGGGACACAGAGGAAGAAGTGGTTTAGGATGGGGCAGCAGACATTTTGCCTGAGATGCATGGGCTTCAAGGGAGTCCAGAAGGAACTCCCAGACCCCTTGCAAATTTGACCACGACTTTATCCAGAGGTCTGTGCTAAAAGCAATTTAATATCAAGGGTGTCTAGTTGACTCAGTCATTAGAGTTTGCAACTCTTGATCTTGAGGTCATGAGTTTGAGCCCCATGTTAGGTATAGAGATTACATAAATACATACATACATACATACGTACATACATACATACTTTTTAAAAATCTTAAAAAAAAAAAAAAAAAGCAGCAGCATCAGACTTGAGTTGAGCACTACCTAAAGACCATGTGCCCGGAAGCATGGGTGGTTCAGCGGTTGAGCACCTGTCTTCAGCCCGGGGCATGATCCTGGAGTCCCAATATCGAGTCCCGCATCGGGCTCCCTACATGGAGCCTGCTTCTCTCCGCCTATGTCTCTGCCTCTCTCTCTGTGTCTCTCTCATGAATAAATAAAATTAAATAAAATCTTTAAAAAAAAAGACCATGTGCCAAAAAAGGGCACTTGCTTCTCCCTCTGCCTGCTGCTCTCCATGCTTGTGCTCTCTCTTTCTCAAATAAATAAATAAAACCTTAAAGAAAAAAAAAAGACTGAGACTCTAAAAGAGGTAAACAGTTTTAAAAAAAAACTTATCAGAAAAGCAAATTGGAGGGTGCCTGGGTGGCTCAATCGGTTAAGCATCTGACTCTTGATTTCTGCTCGGGTCATGATCTCAGGGTTGTAAGATGGAGTCCCATGTTGGGCTCTGTGCCAGGTGTGGAGTCTGCTTAAGATTCCCTCTCTCTCTTTTTCTTCCTCTGCCCTTCCCCCTGCCTCCCTCTCTCTCTCTCTAAAAAAAAGAGAGAGAGAGAGAGAGAGAGAAAGAAAGAAAGAAAGAAAGAAAGAAAGAAAGAAAGAAAGAAAGAAAGAAAGAAAAGAAAAATCAGATTATTAGGCTTATGGCACCACTGCTATTGTACTTCTAAGTACAGATTTGACATAATTTACCTCTTTTTACCTCTTTTCAACCTTTCTTTGCTCAACTTTGCAATTATAAGTGGCTTCAGAGAGAAAGAAAAGGAAAGACTTGGGAAGAAAATACTGATGCTGTAAATAAATTCTCTGATAAGCTGAAATTTTTATAGGGGCATTTGGCTGGTTCAGTTGGTAGGGCATGTGACCCAATCTCAGGGTTGAGAGTTCAAACCCCATGTTGAGCATAGAGCTTATTTTAAAAAAATTTTTTTTAAGTTGTAATAGCCACCTCTTCTGGTTTTGAGAGTTCAGCTCAGATTCTGTATTATATCGCATTTTATACAGATTATACTCTTTAATTCTTTCTGTTTGGGGCCTACAAATTATTAGAAAATAACTACATAGTGGACATCTATCATTTTTCAGATTGCTCAGCCTCTTAATTGCCTTTATGAATTTGGAGAACAGGCCACAGTGTGAGACAGGACCTGTATTTCATTCATGGAAGCCAAAAGGCCCAGGTATCAGTTTTCCCTGATCACTGATTGCTTGGACTCAGTCAGTCAGTGCCCCCTGGATAGCAATTCAGGAGATAGGAGGCCAGAGAAGCAGGCAATATGCAAAACTTACTCTGGTAATGGTGGCACATGGTATCTGTGGCACATGGCAGCTGGGGCAGCTATGCCCCTCTCTTCATTCTCCTTATGTTGCCCGTGTCCAGCAGCAGCATTTTCTCTGCGATGTGGTTTCCTCTGTGAGTCTTGCCCCCAGCCTCCCTTTGTGTCTGCCTGTATTCCTAGCCTGGTTCTCTACCCTGTCCATTGATTCTTTGAGCTCAATACTGTTTCAATAACATTCCTTTTTTTCCCCCAAAGATTTTATTTATTTATTTCAGAGAGAAAGAACAAGCTGAGCAGGAGCCCTACATGGAGCTTGATCCTGGGACCCTAGGATCATGACCTGAGCTGAAGCTGGACACTTAACTGAGTGAGCCACCCAGGCACTCCAGTAAATTCCTTTTCTTGCATCAATTAACCAGAAGATTCTGGTTGGTACATAATCTTTTTTTTTTAAGATTTTATTTATTTATTT